TGGAGTAGTTACCGAATAACTACCCAGTGAGTGATCATGCATGTGCCAAACGCAGGGGCTTCAGAGGTGAAGAAACAGTTCTTACCCTAATGTTGCTAGATTAGATTCTACTCTAGGAATACTAATAGTAGCAATTAATAACACACATGTATTTACTGTATACCAAATAATATGCTAAATATTCTACCAAGCTACCTCCTGTAGTACTTTTTAGCCACTAGCAGAAGATAAAGATGCCTTGTCTGGAATCTCATAATTATAAGGTATATAATATATATACACACCATATAATATATATATAATATAATATATATATGGAAATTGCCATGGAAACACAGGGGCGTGACATTGGCCCAGTTCAGAAAAGAGCAGATTCCTGAGCAGTGCCTTGAAGTAGTAATTACATGAAGTAGGGAGTTTAGGACACCACTGCCAGAGGAAGGAACATAAGCAAGGGATGGGAATATGTACTTGTGGAATGTAAGTGGGGGCATTTACAAAACATGTAGTTTTGTATTGGTAGAGCTAAATATGCAGGTAGAATCAAGGTTATTAGGCACTTTATTTAATCTGCCATGTTTAGTCACTTGAACATTAGCTACTGATGGAGAGCTATTGACATATTCTAGGCAGACAGTGACATAAGCAATTTTAAGCTTCAAAAAAATGGACTCCAAGGTGTAGACAGTAATTGTAGGAAAGTGGAAATACAGAGGAAGACAAATGAAGATACCATGGAAATTATAAAAAAGAATTAAATGCATATCTGGATTTTGTGATTTAAACTCCAGGGGATAAAAGGAAAATTGGGAAGCCCTACATCCAGGAGAATATGAATATATTTTAAAGAAATTCACATAAACACACACTCAGATTATTCACATTTACCTGTCTTTCAAAAATATAAAGCTGTTGAAAAGAAGGAAGTACCGGTATCATGGTAAAAAAGAACATGAAACAAAAAAAAAGAACTGAGTCATCACCAGAATCTCAGTCTCATCATAGAAAATTACTCATTATTTTCTGTGATTGTTAAAGATATGAGAAACAAAAACGAAGTAATCATTACCTTTTATCTCCAATACCTCAAGCCTCTATAGTGACAAGAGCAGCTATAATTAACTTCATGTGAAATAAAAGGGGCATACTGACTTTTATATCTTTTATTAAATTCCAATCTAAATGTTAGTCCATGGCACCTTATAACTCAAAATATGTGAAGAATACACTCCAGTCAAGTTTATTCTTATTAATGTAAAAAGAAATCTCACTGAATTGTTACTAATAAAACCTGATGCTTGGAATATTCCAGATAGTTTTAAAGTAGTAATAGACATGTGTTGAACATGGATTGTAAAAATTTAATGAAATTCTTTAGATAAAATTACCTTGTAAACTATGCATTACCCCTGAGGAGGCGCATTTGGAAGAAGGGTTATTCTTGTAGGAAGATTTCCCTCCCTTCTTCAACATTCCCAGGCTCTTTATTTTAAATGATTGAATATAACTAAGAGTATGGTCTCCCTTAGGGAAGAATACAGTGGTTTATCAAAATAGTTCTGCTGTTGTTTTCACATGGCCACCTCACTTTCCCCAGTAGTTCCTGTGGTAGCAAACTTAGGCCCAATGGTGGAAAGTGAAGACTTGCCTGGACACCCTGAAACAGGTCATAACATTTCCTTAATTAAATAATGCTCATGTTTCATTCTATTTCTAACCTCAAATTATGCCTATGCACCTTGTCCAGTGTAGTGGTTTCATAATGACATTCTACAAAATGTTCAGATAGTCAAATAATAAAATTCTAAAATTCCCAAAATTGCAGCAAAAACCTCACATCATTTTGAACATCACAAGAAATTTGAAGTTCAAAATATTTTGATTAAAATTAAAAGATATGCCACACACAAATACTCAAATGAATGATCGAAGGAATTAAAGTCCAATATCAAATTATCTGACTATGTGATTTTTTAAAAAATTCTAGCCTAAAGCTTTTCATCCCCATCTTTTGAACCTGCTTTATCTCAGTATCTATATGGATTCTTGATACCAGGGTGAGACTGAGATCTTTCTTTAGCTAAATCTTGAATATTTTTAAAGGGAGATTAATAGTTTCGCCAACATTTTAATAGCTTAATTCAATTTTAATTTCATTGCAGGCCCCTATATGTCTCACTTTTAAAAAGATTTTACAGTTAATGGAATAAACCAGATTTTCATACCATAGGCCCATGCCAACTCAACTTAAAAACAAGCCAATCCCAAGCTGTTTAGTAGCTCCTTTAGACCAAATTATGTTTCCAGATCTAAGAATGTGCTCTAGTCCAAAGATAATTCCTAAAGATATTGTCAGAGACTCAATAGTATTTAGAAGTTTCATAGTGATTTTTTCTTGGTTATATCAGTTATTCCTTGCCTGTTTTATAGAATCTATAAACACAATCTACTTCTGCATAGCTTTTAAAACTAGCATCAAGATAAATTTTCTTGTTAATAACTTCACAATGGTGACAGACACAGATATTAAGACATATTTTAGACATGTTTCTCTATGATCTGGTATGTTCCATAGCTTTTATGTCCTCTGCTCTGAGCTCTCTGTTGGTAGCACTCCAGTATGAACTATCCATGCTGTTTCTTGCTAGGGAATACCAGTGCCTAGAAAACCTGTCTCCAAGACTTTTTGCTCTCATATAATTATCCAACCCCAAGCCAGCTTGAGGTTGTGGGAAATATCTGAAGCTCATGTGCAAAGAATGGTAATCCAAGCCTGGCCCCTTCAGTTTCCTTAATAAAGTAGAATTTGGTATCAGCCTATCTAAGGCTACCTATCTTGAGCTGATACTTAGAGCTTGAACTTCATAAGTTTAGGGGGCTTGCAATGTAAAGTAGCATTTTATTGTTCTTTCCAGCAATGACTAAAAGACCTGTATATGGAAAGATTCTCTTTTCCCCATTATTGAAAATTTATCTTACTAAGGCTTTCACCCATGCTAAAGACTTCAACTGATCCAGGTACCTGTGATAAGGCTGGCATCTGGATCATCCAAAATCAAGCCATTGTAGGCTGTATGCTTAAATCCTGACTATTTGACAAGGCTTCTTCACAGTTTCTTCTTTGCTGAGGCCAGTGAGACCAGAATTTGCTTGTAGGGTGCAAACAGATGGTATCTGCTGAGGTCCTCTGCGTGGCTAGTATCTGGCTGGAGTGCCTTGAATAACTTGGGTCTCCAAGGACTGGGATTTTGCTGATGCTATACAGACTCTTGCCATTTTACTTAGGTCACCAACCCATACTTTTGCTGAGGCCCCTGCACAATATGCTGAATGTTTGCTGCTTCTAGCAGTGCCTCTTCAAAAACAGCCAGCTATTCATTTCTAGACAGCACCCTCATAAATTGCAGTGATTCACCAAAATTAAAATACCAAGTGGCCAGTGCCTAAGGCCTTCAGCCATATGCCCAAGTCAACTGTTTAAAAAGACAACTACATAACTTATGAATTTAAAATAAAAACACTGACGTACAGTTCAAACCCCTCTACATAAACTCTTCTGCCCAATTTGTTCTGTGTTTATTTCTCATTTGCTTGCCCTTGGTACCAGTTTCTAACATTCCCATTTCTACAGATAGGTCTCTCCACTAGAGGCCCAAAAGCTGAGCAGACCAAATCTTCTTTAAAGGCAGCTCAGCTCCTAAAGGGAAGGGGTGCTGGACTACATATGCTTCTACCAAACTGCTGAGCTGCCACAGTAGGTAAATTATACCAAAGAGGTTTACTGCACATAAAGAACATCAGGCATGAATAAATACCCTCTTTCTCTTGTAATTATTATTATGTGGCATTAAAACTTTACTAATTTTTAGATTAGGTGATTCAACTGGAAAACATCTGATTTGTGAAACAATTGAAAAGAAAATACTGATACTTTTAAGTGCTTAATGATTTGGTCCACTTTAAGGGATTGTCCTAATAAGGAGTTCAGACTACCAATTATGTATACAAGTTGGAATTTTTAGAAATGCTTTCCATTCAACATATTCTTCATAGACAAATAATTATGACTTAAGATGCATTTGCTTTATTGTTTAAAAAGTAAAATTCACAAATTATAAATAGAAAACTTTTCCCAATATATTTTAAATTAAAAACAGACTTACCAACTCTGTAGGGTCCTCTGGGAATAACTCAGGTCCATGTACCGAATGATAATGTAACAGAAAACTAAATAAAACTGTTGCAGACAGCTGTCCTTGAGAAACTCCCCACACATTTCTCATTGGAGGTTATTTTGCTCTGGGCTCATGCCTTGCTTCTGTGATCCCTCCACTACACATATTTACTGAGCCCCTACTATGTGTAGGGCAAATATTCTCCAGATCTTTGCTGTGCCACCATAGAATACCTTTCTTTTCCTCATTTTTCTCATTAGCTAATTCATGATGAAATACTCATTATTTTGTATACCCTAAGGTATATCCAGTACCAGAGACTTCACATCTCATCTGTATTCAATCTTAAATATCTTTCTGGTTTGCTTGGAGTCATTGCATAATGGCAGCTACCTACATCCTCACTGGAGGCAGAATGCTACTGCTTTGCACTGTGCTTTTTTTTCTTATTCTCGGTACCAGAGATCGAACTCAGGACCTTGTGCTTGCTAGTCAGGCACGGTGCCACTGAGCTAAATCCCTGGCCCTGCACTATGCTTTTTTGGCTACTTAGGGCAATGGTTTATGTGATGATATCCTATAACATTTACATTGAGTTGGTTCATTTATTATTATCCCTGTCTGGCCTACAGAATTGTTAGATATGCATTGCAGAATATGAAGATTAATAAATTAGTTTTTTAGATGCCTTATAGAATCTTCCAGATTCCATAATGTACAAATTTGTGACATTTGTTCTAGATGTTAAAATGTGACCGAGTTTTTGACAGCTTATCCTGAGATATACAAAATGAAAACTACAGGATGTTTTTCTTTTTGATCTAGGATCTGAAGCTAATTTTATGATGAAAATTCATCCTCTGAAGAAATATCCTGTGGATCTTTATTATCTTGTTGATGTATCAGCATCAATGCACAATAACATAGAAAAATTAAATTCTGTTGGAAATGATTTATCTAGAAAAATGGCATTTTTCTCCCATGACTTCCGCCTTGGATTTGGCTCATACGTTGATAAAACCGTTTCACCATACATTAGCATCCACCCAGAGAGGATTCATAATCAGTGCAGGTATTTAATTTTTGGTGTGGATAATGCTAAATGAATTGTTGTCTTATAAAATTTCATTTTGTTCATATGTAAAGAATTTAGAAGGTTTTATAATTTTGTCTTATTAAATAAGAATCAAAAATATTTGAGGAGGAGGTGAAAACTATTATGTGCAGCTTGGGTTTGTTATTTTACATTTGTTAAAATATTATTTGCTCCCATTTTGTCATACATACAAAAAAGTCCTATCTCATATTAGTAACTTTTAATAAACTCCCAACACTCAGACATTGTATATATAAATACCTCTGTGGAAATTCTGTATTTCTCCTTTTTGATTGCTCCAAAATTGTTGAATTGAGATTTAGTACATTTTAAAGTATCTGTCTTGACGATAATGAGTCTCTCTCTCCACTACTGTATCATGATTATTTATAATTATGTTGCTTTTTTTTTTTGCAAAAGATAAGTGTTTTATTTCACTTTTTCTTTTACTGGTACATTTTAGATATACATAATGATAACGTTCATCATAGTGAATTTGTACCTGTACATATCTTGCTTCTTTTTTTCCCATTCCCTTCCCCCCCTTTCAATCCCATTCCCCTCTTTATCTACAAAAGCCTTGTTTCCATTTTTTTCTTCCATTTTTTCCCTTGTCCCTTCTTTCTTTTCCCTCTCCCTTCTCCCTTGTTCCCCTTCTTATTCAAACATTTTCTTCCCATTTTGAGGAATAAATCTGTATAATTTTTTCTCACATATAATTTTATTTTAACATATTTCATACTTCCATAAAGTGCTCAGATCACCTTAAACTATGTATTCCAAATTACCAAAACAACTCTATTGTCCATTATACTAAGCTGTGAGTGATTTGTTTTTTACTGGAGTTTCATGAGCCTTCTCCTTGAAGGTGAATGTGTCTAAGGAAGGAATCTCACTTTCTGAGATATCATGGAATGGTCAAAATAATTTTAATTAATTTTAATTGGCCATCAGTAATTCCATACTGAGCATCATTTTTAAAATAAGTGTAATATTCTTGCTTATAAATCAAATAATATGCTATTTAGTCTGAATTCCAAAACTATTTCCCCAAAAATGTTTTTCAGTTGTTCCATGACCAATTATGATAGGAAACTATTGAAAAGTCTTACTTTCTTCTTAAAAATTCACAATGCCTATTAGGATATGGAAAACCCTTAGTTACCCATATTAAAAAACACATTGTTTAATCTTCTTTATTTTTTGAACACCAAACCTTAAAGCTCTTATTTCCTGCTCTTATGTTCACCAATATTAAACTGATAATTTTACACATTTTTATGTTACAAAATTTCCCTGGCAAACAAAATTTGACTTCCTTCTCATACCACCTACATGAATTCAGTAGTAGTAGTATTCTGGAACTTGTAAGGCAGCATGGCAAAATGGACTTTGCACTTCTTCTTTTCCCATACAGTGACTACAATTTAGACTGTATGCCTCCCCATGGGTACATCCATGTGCTGTCTCTGACAGAAAACATCACTGAGTTTGAAAAAGCAGTTCACAGACAAAAAATCTCTGGGAACATAGACACCCCTGAAGGAGGATTTGACGCCATGCTTCAGGCGGCTGTCTGTGAGGTAGGAAGTTTCATGTCACTGGGTGCTCAAAGAATTTGGAATTTTTGTTTTCTGTTTGATTTATGGAGTGAAAACATAGCATAGAAGAAAATCTCTGGGGTTAGTTATTTTGGTATATGTTTGGGAGTGAGGGGATCAGTTGGGAAAGGACCATGTATACAGATAAAGCCTTTCTAAAAGAGTTGCCCTTTTCTTGCAACACACTCCAAGGAAAAACCAGAAATAGCTTTTTTTCCCACTCACATGACCTTAGTGTCCTGCTTTGCAACCTGGCTTATCCCTCCTCCTGCAGAACACTAGAAATATGCAGCCAGGAACCAGTGTGGTCAAATGACTGTGGTGAATTAGAGGATGTACAAATAAATGTGAATGCTACTTATGAAGCAAGAAGGATTGTACTTAAGTAGATCATTCCAGCCTGACTTAAAGTTTGTCAACTCAAACATATGGTTTACTTGAGGCAAAACCACAGTACAGATCTATGTTATTGTACAAGGTCTAATTACATGTTTATTTTAAGAGTCACATTGGATGGAGAAAAGAAGCTAAAAGATTGCTGCTGGTGATGACAGATCAGACATCTCATCTTGCTCTTGATAGCAAGTTGGCAGGGATAGTGGTGCCGAATGATGGAAACTGCCATCTGAAAAACAATGTCTACGTCAAATCAACAACCATGGTAATGTAGCAATAGCTCCATTGTAGCTATGGCTTTGAGGGTTAAAGTACAAGTTTAAATTGGCAGTTCAGGTATTTTACCAGAAATTACCCAAAGGGGCAGGATAAAGAACCAGAATAAGCCATGAAAGAGAATGTAAGGAACTCAACAAAACATGTGGCTATCATACTTTGGCAACATCTAGTAACTGACTGATAAACTACAAGGCACTGTATAATGCTTTAAAATGAATGTGATGCAAGAACTTACTTTTTTGTAATCATTTCCTTGAAAAGCAAAAAGATAACAGCCTTTGCTTTGTACAAATAGACTAGTTCTACAGGTTTGATATCTACAAATACATTAAGTAGTGGTAAGAAAAATGCAGTTGGCCTGAGGAATCATTTCAGTTCAAAAGATAGAAATGCAATACAGACCAGGGACAAAGTAAAACACGTAAAACAAGGCAGGCTTACCTACTTTACATCTTGCTTCCTGCCTCTACAACTTACATTTGTGTAGGGCTGCATTTTAGATTTATGGGATTTGAATTGCTTTTGGAGGGTTCACATAGGCTTTAGAATATATGTTTAAATATAAACTTGTAGTATCATATCTTCCCCAGATTAGCTAAACCTTGGCATCAACGTTGAGGCCTATTTCCACATTCTTCCAAATGGCAGGATAGAAGCTGTCAAACTTTCTTACTTTATGGACCTCAGAGTCTCAGAAGTTATTTCCACAGCACTTTCAGGCAAAAGAATTACCTAACAGTTCTGTTCATTAAGTAGTTAAGTCCATATTCCTTAATTATTTATTGCCTACCAACTTAATAAGATATATGAATAAAATATGTAGGTATATATTTATGTCATTTTTAAAATTAATTTTATTGGTACATTTTAGGTATACACTATAATGACATTCATCGTTGGAAATTTGCACCTTTACATAATATCTCTTGGTTCTTATTTTTTCCCCATTCCCCTGCCTTCCCTTCAGCCCCTCCATCCCTCCCTATTTACAAGGATTTTGTTTTCATTTTCTCATATTAATACCATTCCATTCCTTCCTTTCCCCTACCCCTCCCACTTCCCCTTCCCCTTTGCCCCTTTTCTTCCTATTTCACATTTAGTCCTTATTTACACTTTCAGTTTCTCACACTAGAGAAACTGTTCTGTATTTACACGTGTCCTATTTTTTTCACTAAAGAGTGTCACCTCAATACGCATCCATTGAGCTATAAATGTCTCTAATTTCTCATTTTTTATGGCTGAGTAGTACTCCATTTTATTTTTTAAAAAACACATTTTCTTTATCCAGTCTCAAGTTGGTGGGCAATTGAGCTGCTTCCAAGTTTTAGCTATTATAAATTGTGCTGCTATGAACATGGGTGCACATATATCACTGTGGTAGGATTCTTTTAATCCTTTGGGGAAGATACCAAGCAGGAGAAATGCTGAGCCAAATAAGACTTCCACTCCTAGTTCTTTGAGGTATCTCCATACTGATTTCCTCAGTGGTTGCACCAGTCTACACTGTCATCAGCAGTGTAGCAGGGTTCCTCTTTCCCCACAGGCACACCAGCATTTGTTATCGGTTGATTTCATGATAACAGCCATTCTTTCTGGAGTGAGGTCGAATCTCAGCATTGTTTCATTTGCATCTCTCAAATGACCAGTGATTTTCATATGTTTTCATATGTTTATTTGCTATATCTACTTCTTTGTCTGAGAAATGTCTGTTCATTTCAGATGCCCATTTTTGGATGGAGGCCTTAAATTTGGGAGGTCTAATTTGTTAAAGTCCTTTACAGATCTAGATAGTAGACCTTTGTCTGAGGAAACAACAGGTGAAAATTTTTTCCCACATTGTGGGTTGTCTCTTCACACTGTTGGTGGTTTCTCTTGCTGTGCACAAGCTTTTTAATAAGAAGAGATCCCACTTGTTGATTATTTGTGCTAGTTCATGGGCAACTGAGGTTTTGTTCATAAAATCTTTTCCTACACCAATGTATTCAAGAGTCCAGGCAGTTCAGTGTTTCTGTTTTTATATTTAGATCTTTAATCCATTTTTATTTTAGTTTAGCGCATGATGAGAGATAGAGGTCTAGTTTTAATCTTTAGCAAGTTGAAACCCAATCTTTCTAACACCATTTATTAAAGAGGCTATCTTTCCTCCAATGAGGGTGGTTGGCTCCTTTGTTGAAGATGAGGTAGCTGAATGTGTCTGAAGTTGTTTCTGCAGTTTCTAATCTCTTCCACTGGTCCTCAGGTCTGTTTCTTTGCCAGTACCATGCTGTTTTTATCACAGTAGGCTTGTAATATAATTTCAAGTTGGGTGGTGTGATACCCCCTGCCATGTCTCTGTTACGTAGAATTGCATTTGCTATTCTAGGTCTCTTCTTGTTCCAAATGAATTTTTGGATTGTTTTCTCAAGGTCCATGAAGTATGCTCCTGGGATTTCAATTGGGATTGCATTGAATCTATATAGCAGTTTTGGAAGTTTGGCCATTTTCACTATGTTGATTCTTCCTACCCAGGAGCAAGGGATGTCTTTCCATTATCTGATATCACCTTCAATCTCTCTTTTCAGAATGCTACAGTTTTCAGAGAAGAGGTCTTTGATTTCTTTTGTTAGGTTGATTCCTAGGTATTTCAGGTTCTTGGATGCTATTGTGAAAGGAATTATCTGCTCTATATTTCTCTCAGTGAGTCTGTTGTTCATCTAGAGAAAAGCTATTGATTTTTGTGTGTTGATCTTGTTTCCAGCTATTTTACTTAATTTGGTTATTAAGTCTAGAAGACTTTTGGTGGAATTCTTGGGGTCTTCTATATAGAGTATCGTGTCATCTACAAATAATGACAATTTGACTTCTTAATTTCCTATCTTTATTCCTTTTATTTCTTTCTTTTGTCTAATTGCTGTGGTCAATGTTTCCAAGACTATATTGAACAGGAGTGGTGATAGTGGACATCCTTGCCTAGTTCCTGATTTTAGTGTGAAGGCTTTCAGTTTTTGACCCTTTGGTATGATACTGGCTGTTGATTTTTCATAAACGGCTTTTATCAGATTGAAGTAGAGACCATCTATTCCAGTATTTTATAGGGTTTTTATCAGAAATGCATGCTGGACTTTGTCAAATACTTTTTCTGCATCTATTGAGATGATCATATGGTTTTTGTTCTTGGATCTATTGATATGCTGTATTACATTTATTGATTTGTGTATGTTGAACCATCCTGGCATCCCTGGGTTGAATCCCATTTGGTCAGGGTATATGATATTCTTGATAATCTTCTGCATTCTATTTGCCAGTATCTTATTAAGGATTTTTGCATCTATGTTTATGAGTGAGATTGGCCTGTAGTTCTCTTTTTTGGTTGGGGCTTTTGCTGCTTTGAGGATCAAGGTGATGCTTGCTTCCAGGAATGAATTTGGGAGTATTGCTTTCCTTTCAATTTCATTGAAGAGTTTCAACAGTAGTGGCAGTAGTTCCTCTCTAAATGTCTTGTAGAATTCAGAAGTGATGCCATCAGGGCCTGGGCTTTTCTTATTTTGTACGTTTTTGAATACATTTGCAATTTCATTGATTGATATGGGGTTGTTTAGAATTTTTAGGTCTTCTTCTTTCAACTTTGGTAATTTGTACATATCTAGGAATCTGTTCACTTCTTCTGTGTTTTCCATCTTATTGGTGTATAGGTTCTGGAAGTAGGTATTGATGATCCTCTGAATTTCTTCTGGGTCCATTGTAATTTCATCCTTTTCATTCCTAATTGCATGGATTTGGGCCTTTTCTTTCCTTTTTCTGATAAGGTTGGCTAAGGGTTTGTCAATTTTGTTTATTCTTTTGAAGAACCGACTCATGGCTTTATTGATTTTTTGTATTGTTCTCTTAGTCTTCATTGCACTGGTTTCTGCTCTGATCATTATAATTTCCTCCCTTGTATGAGCTTTGGGGTTGTCCTGCTCTTCTTTTTCCAGAAGCTTGAGATTCAGCATCAGGTTGTTTAATTGGGCTTGCTCTGTTTTCCTAATATGAGTATTCATTGCTATGAATTTCCCTTGTAAGACAGCTTTCATTGTGTCCCATAGACTCTGATATGTTGTATTGGCATTGTCATTTAATTGTAGAAACTGTCTGATTTCTTCTTTAATTTCCTCTGTGATCCACTGGTTAGTCAGAATTGTGCTGTTCAGTTTCCATGTGTTTATTAAATTCTTGCAGTTTCTTTTGCTATTGATCTCCAATTTCATCGCACTATGATCTGATAATACACGGGATAACTTCAATTCCTTTGCACTTACTTAAACATGATCTATGAGTGAGTATGTGGTCTATTTTGGAGAATGACCCATGTGCAACTGAAAAGAATGCGTATTCTGATTTTGTGGGGTGGAACACTCTGTAAACATCTGTTAAGTTCATTTGTTCAAGAGTTTGATTGAATTCTAGTATTTCATTGCTTATTTTTTGTCTAGTTGATCTATTTGTGACAGTGGGGTATTGAAGTCCCCCACTATGATTGTATTAGTGCTTGATTTTTCTTATCTGTTAGTATTTGTTTTATGTAGTTGGGCACACCATTGCTTGGTGCATATATATTTATTATTTTCATCTCTTCCTCTTGGATTGTTCCCTTTACAAGGATATAGTGTCCTCCTTTGTTTCTCTTAATCAGCATTGTTTTGAAATCCACTTGATCTTCAAAGAGGATAGCTACTCCTGGGTTTTTTGGGGTTCCTGTCACATGGAGTATTGTTTTCCACCCTTTAACTTTCAGTCTATGAGTTACTTTTTTAATTAAGTGTGTTTCTTGTATGCAGCATATTGTTGGATCTTGCTTCTTGACGCATTCTACCAGTCTAGTTCTATAGATTGGTGAATTGATATCATTAACATTGGTGGTAATAACTGATGCGTATTGACTTTTAATTGTCATGACTTTTTCTTTTTGTTGGATTCTCTCCCTTTGCATTTAATTTCTTGTCATGCCCGATGAATTCATTCTGCTGG